CCTTACAGTCTCCATAACAGTGGGTATACATACTGATATGCAATGTACTGGCATATGAATACGTGCATTATACTGTTAATCAATATTAACAACCCCGGGGCCCCTCAGCTTATCTCCTACGGCCCTGAGCAAGTAACCCCATATCTGCTAGGTCCGACAATAAGAATGTACTGATAATGGAGAGAATCTTTCTTCGGGCCGGAGAACAATATGGAGCCTTCTCATATATCTTCATAATACAGGCCTTTTACCCTAACCCGGCAAAATGTCACATAAACTGACGCAGGTTGACAGAACAAGAATTACATTGTTTGCGGTATAACGTACGCCAATTATTACACAACCATATACGTACATACGTAAGACTTGCGTAACTTCTCTTTTTCACGGAAACGAAGCTACATCTTATTTCGGTTAAATATCAGTAATTCGATTTCATTGATCTCAACAGTGTATGGCTTGTGTATCAAGTTTTGTATTAATTTTTGATACTTTATTGACTTTTGTACGTACCTGTATGATGTTTACCCCTGTACCATACACGCTGCTCAAATAGCTCTCCATAATCATTCGTTCAGTTTACTTTCGTCGCATGATCGAATTTCCATATAGTTGTGCAAATAAAACATATCGATTGTCAAATACGAAATTTAAAATATAGACCGAACGAGAACAATTTGAATTTTCCCGCCGTTTCTATCGAACGCCCCACGTATTATTTTCACGATATATAATCCACACGAATGTATATCTGTGTATATCTTCGTATTCATTCAACGGCAATCGGCCGATAATAACGATGCTACTGGAATTCGCGAAATGTGCGAATTAAGCCGAGATAAATCTGACAAGTGGGTACAGCTATTTAAACGGGACGGATGCTGGGGGTCTTTCGATTCGGTACTTGGACTGTAAGCGATAGAGAATCAATTCCTCTGTAGGAATGGAATTTCAATGAGAGCGGTTCAAAGGTCAAGTTTTGCGAGAGGGCGGGAGGGGGGCGGGGTACGAATGGATAAGAAAAGGAAAGAATGGCGAAGGGGAGGAAAAGGGGAGGAACGAAGAGGCACGTACTATTGGAAATTCAAGGGGCTGGCAGGACCACTTAAAATTCCAGGACGGAAAGGTATTTCTGGAGGGAAGAGTTTGAAGGGGGTGAAACAGGAAGAAGTGGGGAAGTATATGGAAGTTACGCGAGAGGAATGACTTCCGGTGAAGGGCACTGTGTTTCCTGAGGTCTCAATTTCTTTTTGCAAAATTTTGATAAAATAATTTTTTTCATCAATTAGGTCAGTTACCTGTCTTTTACATATTCACGTGTGGAAATACGTCATTCTGACCATTACGCCACTTTGCGTTTATACGGGGAAGATTATACTGCAAAATTGTCCCTGTATATATGGGGGGGGGTCTGTGTCAGGATATATGTCCCGGAAGTGACTTCCGGCCATTTTGCTGCTGACGATTTTATAGCATGCTCTGGACGTGGAAAGATTGTTGGTTTTCAAGAGGAAGAAATTTTATGGTTGTTAAAGAAGAATGGAATGTGGGACACGCGTATGTGGAAAGTTCAGCAGTCGGGATGTATGATACTTTCTTGTAGGAGATAACGTGCGGGTCGGGCTAGACACTTAATTTTGACATTTTACAGGAGCAATTTTATTATTATCATTATACAAAATTTGAGGCTAGAAATTTTTTTCCTCATTTTGTCACTGTGCTATTTTTTTATGCAGTTTGAAAATCTACATGCAAAATTGACTCACTGGTTATTGTTCTTGTTTCAACATATTCGCTACTGTCTGTGGACGTGTGAACGTCATTGGCTATCATTAGTCATGCAAATATATCATGAAACTCGTAATAACTGTCGAGTTCGAGAGGTGCGAGACGAATTAGTTTTCCGTAATGGGTTTAGCATGTGAAGGATACGTGGTCGGGCGTCATTGTAAACAGCAACGTATTCCCAAGGGTCTGGGCGAGGCCAGGGAAGCCGCCATATGAATTCCTACGAATTATGCAATATTATGTAATTTCCCTTGGATACTTGGCACAGTATATTGAAACTGATAAGGGATCGTACAGAGACGAGTTGTTTGATTACAAGGAGAGTTAATTAAAATTTTGAAAAAAATGTTTAGCTTACAAATTTTCTGTTACGTAAATGCGAGGAAAATTTTTGTCCAATGTTCAAAAAATATATATAAGGCACGTTTATTATGTGGGTCAGATTTTTTTTTTCCCCTTTGATCGTCACTTTGACGAAATTTTAGGGTGAAAATTCATGTGACTCGCGAAATCGCTCCACTGATTAATAAGACGTCGTATTTTAGGCTCGATGATCTCCTTAAAATGCGCATAGTAAGGGCACAGTGTATTATGAATATGCATAGGGCAGTGATTTGCATTTTTCCGCCATGTTTTACAGAGGTCTGCCTTCGCTCTTACTACTTCCCTCGAATGTTTGCTTGAAGCTCCTGCATTGTTTCCGAGCGTAATAAACAATATCTGTTGAAAAAAAGAGACGAAAAAATTTTTGAAAATTTTTTTACGAATAATTACTGCACGTCTACGTAAATACTGTAAATAGAAAAACAAAATCCACGCTAACCACGAATGCACATGCACCTCAAACGGACGCATCGAAAATTGCATTTATAATTAATGCAATCAATTAAACGTTATGCAAATATTTATTACCCATAGTCCATGAGGTAAATGATATGCAAATTTATATTATAAACTCGATGCACCTTCGTATAATTGCATAATGCAAAGCCACTGCAACGGATTAACTTACCCTACCCGGAAGATCCCGTAGCTGATAAGAATAATATTGGAATGAATTTTTCATGCATTTAAGCCACAGAAAATTCCCAGATGAAAACAAATCTATATTGTACGGTGATTTTTATAATGCATTTTGACAGGTGCATCGGCGTCAGATAGATGTACAGTGCACGGGTCAAATGCGTCCCGAATGCATCCGAGGAAAATAGTGCACTTTTACGATCTCGACGAATTGAAACTGAACGGTTTTTTTTGTTTCGCGATCCTAAAGTGCTGCCGATTGCTGTTCAATGAACGCAGCGACTCGTTCGTCATTCTTCGACGCGGATATAGATGCGTCGCGTGTAAATATCCAGTTTACGTACTAGAGAAAATTGCATACAATTCACTGGCCGTAGAATGCGTTTGCTACATTTAGCACCGACGCCGGGTGCATCGTTGCACTTTTCCACGTAAAACTGTCCCGAATGCAAAGGTCATTCTTAAGATTTATATCGTAGAAAATAGTATGTGAAATGGGCAAATATTTTTTTTAAAATCACTTCACTCGGATTAAAAAAATAATTGATAGCCTACGTACAGATCCTGATAAGAATAAAATAATAATCTTAATTTCAGTCCCTATCATGATTTACTTATCAATGCTTAACCTATATTAATATTAAAACTCTCCAACTGCATTACAGTGTCTGTGCTTGCAAGGACGGACTTATAAAGTAAGAGACCCTTAAATTTCAAAATTGCGGTCGTGACAGCCGCTTCCGTCACGTATGTTAATTATAGTCCAATTACCACGAATTTCAAGCTTTTTTTTTTTAAAAAAAAAAAAAAGAAATCTCCCATACTATTATGATTATCTCAATTCACGTTATCCTTGTTGGCCTCAAAAATACACAGACGACATAAAACATCAGTATGATTTCCACGCCTGAATGAATGCCATGTTAATTAAATTGGCCATTAAAATTTTTCAAGGTCAATGTAAAATTTTCTCACGATTTCTACAACCTCGACTCTTCCCCAGGCCAAAATTTCGTCCCACCCCAACGCAACAGGCCGTGTAATCGAATTCCCCCTTAGACCATGTACATTAAATCCGTGTATTCGCTAAAGTTCGTTCTCACAGTAGTAGGAGTCCGCTATAGGTCGGCCTGAATTTTTTAGGATCGGACCAGCTAGTCGAACGTACTCGATAAAATCGATTCTCGAACGAGGAATGGGTAAAGAAAGAGAGAGGGGGGAGGGCAGCACAGAGAGGGAGAAACGCGAGGTAAGAATAAATTGCGTGGCACTCTTTGCTCATGATGTCTTTTCAATTCTCGGTCTGACCAACTCCGCCTACTACTACTGCCACTGTTATTGGCACTATACCGAGACTATCACGTTAACCACCAGTACGTCGGATAGGATACTATTTTATCGTATTAAAGTTTCATTCTACGCGATACTATTATGCGCAATAGTCCGAGTCCAGAATACAATAGGGATTGTATTGAGAATCTATCATGATCCTAAATATTGTAGGAAGTATACAGTGTATATATATATATAGTCAATCGCTGATGATTGGTAGATGCGGTTCGATGGCTTCCCTTTGTAGCAGATGTATGGGTAATAGGATCTTCCGAGGATGATTTCTTGTAAAAATGTACCAGAGTAATAATAGGCAACCCTATACTCCATGCAATAATTGGTATTTTATATCGTGGACGTTTAAGGAGTTAATTTTCTAACAGTGCAAATAGCTTCGGCTGTAATTCTATACTCGGCTCAATTACAAATAAGAATTAGTACCGGGTAGGACAAAGTGTCGCCGTATAAAGTATATATAGAAAAGTAACGAGCTTCCTTGAAGATACGGCGGTGCCATTAAAACGAAACCTATATACAAGGGGCGTGCACCAGCGAAGTCTACATTGTTATTCGAACGGTAACCAAAGTAATTACGACTACCGGAGAACTTTAATTAAACATGATACGATGAACCGAGTGGTGGGGGTTTAATTGTTTTATATAAACAATTGTATCGCAGGAGGTTGTAGTTATCGGTTTGAAATTGACGTGTTTATTTAATTGCACAATATTGAGAATATAAATTGCATTCGTCCGCGTGGGCCTATTGATTCCGTAGCTGATGGGCAGCGTGTACGGTCGAGTGAACGAGAGTTCGGGTTTGTCCGATATTAAAACGTAATGCGGTATTGTTGCAGGAAATGACGAGGACGTGACGCGGCTAACCGGAAATCGGTACAAGAAGCGAAGCCATGAGCTCGAACGGAAATGCCGGATCTCAAGATGGCGGGACTGGCACTGAGTATGGTAGCAGCGACGAGACGGCAGCCCTTATCAGCAGACCGCCCCCGCCGGTCGTCGTGGCTTCTGCCGGTGGTCAAGGGAAACCGGTTTTAACCAGGCAGGATCGGGCGACATTTCTGATCGCCTCGCCACAGCTGTCTGTGTCTGGTCTCGGTGGCTCGGAGGAAAGTAATACCATTGAGGATCCGGCCACGAGATCGGTACCGGACATCGAGCTGCACTGCCGATTGGACGCCGATCCGCAACCGTTGGTTCAACCGGTCGCCGCTTCTTATCGGGCTAGACACGCGTCTCACCAGTACAGATGTCGCTGCGATCGCAGAGACTCACTGGCGCCATCCTCTGCCTTGTATCTTGGACGAAGTGCATCCAGGTTAGTTTTTTTTGGAAATTTTATGAAAATTGAAAAAAAAATTTTTTGCTTGGGTGTTCTTATCTTTTATGCAAATAATTACTGATTTTGAATTTCGAGGTTATTTTTGTTTTACTTGGCTTGGGTGATTTTTTTTATAAAATTTCGATCACTGTCTCTTTCGTAATCAAAGTCTCTTTCAAAGTGGAAATTTTGCCGAAATTTCTTTCCGCTGACAATCTTTCTTTTATACTCTTTTTTTTATCTTTATTGGTAATTCTGGCGCAGAAATTGTCCCTTTAATTTTCATCGCCTACCGGGAACTTCTGAGCGTGCCGCCTGCCAACTCCGCGGGGTTTTTCAAACGTATTCGCCAAGTACTCGTTGAGCTTCTCGTTTTGTAATGGCTTCGTGACCAGTAGCGGTTTTACGATATTTCGGAAGTACTCCCCGTACCCTATCTACTTTACTGAAGCTGGACTGGATGCTAAAAAGAAAAACATTCGTGTGACGTTTCTTTACTCTTTACCTGCAATTCGACCTCGAGCCCTTATTTACGACCGACCTCCTCCGAGGTTACACAGAATCCGTCAATATTTCAAAGTTCTTTGAGGTGCGCCTCATCTTTCTTTTTTTGAAGCCGTCATAGATCTTCATATACCCTACTCGAGAGTACGTCAAAGCCCTAAATCCCAATTTAAAGACTACCAATAAGAGCCTCATGCAGTATGAAGAAGTCTAGATAAATCTACCGTAGTAACTATATTCTAAACCTATTATAGTGCACTAAAGCTCTCAGTTTCATAATACCACCGTAATCTCGAATCTGAATTTAATATTGTGCAAAGTTAAAACGATTAAAAAAATTATTCATATAAGACGTGCCAGTGCCGTATAGCCCAGTGTATCTACTATTTTTATTTTTTTTTTCGAAAAAGAAAAACCCTAGCAGTACTGTCCGTTAGCACTGAGTGGTAAATGGAATATTTTATTTAAGAGGTTGGTAGCCTCGTTAAGTCGGCAGGATACAGTACTGCAAGACGATCGTTAAGAATACATCCACAAGAAACGACCGAAGTGCGCCATGGCTGTATTACGACATTCAAAAGAAAGAAAAAAAAAAAAGAAAAATCGCAGCCAAGAAATACGGTTGGGTGAGTTTGAAGAAAACCATGGCAAGTCCATAGGGGCCAGTAACGTATTGCTTGAATAACAGAGTGGGGTAGTTAAGGAGCTCAAAATATACGGTGGATAATTCTCAAATTATTAATCGTCAGGGTAACCGGATATTGCGTCATTTTTATGGGCACATAAGCATCGTGCCAAATCGCTACTAGCTTGCCACGAACAAATCGTATGATTCGGGTAATCGAATATTTGGTCGTATTTCTTGGGAAATGAAAGCATCGTGGCGCCAGGTCGTAATATTACTTTAATATAATTGAGTGGACCGATAAATCGTAATTATTTATTGTTATTAACCTAAAATTGACACTTAACAATTTTCATGACTTTTTTTTTTTTTATCAACTTTGGGGTAATCTCGTAAAGTATTTGGCGTCGATGGCCAAGAAATAAAAAGTAATAATATCGAAAATGTATAATCGTGCCAATTCAATTTTTCAAGAGTGTACTCGAATTTTCATTTGACTGGTACAATACGTTGTAAAAGTTTTGTGACCATCGACCTTACCTGGAATGTCGCGAGTATTTGGATTTGACGTGGGCGAAGGACTTTGGCGCTGCTAGCGCCACTAGTGTAAGACTGTGGTACTATTCGCCTGGCGGCCTCATTGAAAGATTCATAACCTCATAAATAATCAGACACACAATCCTTACAGTTTGCATCGCTCCTTGAGCTGAGAATTTCGTTATTTTCAATTGACGAAGTACAAATGTAATATTTATCAAAGGCCTAAATAAATGAATCGTCTTTCTCGTGCAAACGTGGCTCAACATTTTCATATGGTAAATTATGTATTTCTTTTTTTTAAATTCACTATAATTTTCACTCAGCCATTTACACGTCTGTGACGTCAGACAGTGCTTAAGATTACTTATCGATTATTCGGTATACGTATAGTTACCCTCGTTGCATAGATAATCGCCATAACTGTTAAATAAATGTACTACGGCTCTCGTTTCTGGCAAACTTTCTGATAGCCAGTGAATAACCATAAGGTAAAACAATTTTGCAGTTGCCGTTTGTATCGTGGAAAATAAGCTTACAGAAATGGTAAAAAAAAAAAAAAAAGTAATTTTCCCAAAAAACAAAGAAAACATTAATTTTTTTCCATGAACATTCGATATACTAGGATATTATTTGTCCTCGCCTAAGGTAAAGTCAATATCTCAGCCAGTGATGCCAACCGTTAAAAAGTGCTTGGGTGGCATGTGACCTTAGATAAAAAAAGGGTGGCCACTCTCAAAGATCCAAAAGGTCAGACGAATCCGAATCTGTTCGGGATTGCTTCGTTCCTGTTGAGAGACCCGCGGGAGATTCAGTCAGGCAGCCAACTGTCTAACCTATCAATATCCCAGCTGGCAATTTCCCGAGCATACCTGTCACTGCTACCAACCCTGCGACGTCAACCCTATACGGTCAATAATGCATCACATGTCAGGAACTACACAATTTGGGTAGATAAACCAACCCTTAAAAAATGTCGCTGTTTTTTATGTCAAAATAAAATATTCGTTTTTATATATATATATATATATATATCTTTGTACAGATGTTGAAGGTCACCATTAAGGGTTGTTTGATTAATTTTAAAACTGCGTGGAAATTTGTAACTTTTTTTTTTTATTCCTCCACGGTTCCATATGAAAATTCAATAACGTCGTTCCACCCTTACGCCGCTATTACGGATATTACTGAAATAAATCAGAGGGTGCTTTCCTTCTTGCTTTACATTCGCTTTGATTCACGTGAAAGGGTAAACATAAAGAGGGCTCTGATGGGTAACTAAATTATTTCGACAGCGATGAAAATAAATTTTACGAAAGTATTTGATCCTTTTTCTTTCTTTCTTTCTTTCTTTCTTTCTTTCTTTCCTTCCCCCTTAGCTTATCGAGCTGTCGACCTTTGTGCGCAATAATAGCTGTATGTTGTACATTTTCAAAATTAAATTCATCGCTTTCGTTATTCGTATTTTTACCTTTCATTAAATTCCCATGGGTGTCCGTCAATAGAATTTCAAAGGTCAATAAAAGTTACTAGACTTCTAGTTCTTTTTTTTGTCCTGTCTCTATATAGTCACTCACACAGCTACGTAGAAACATCCGCTCGTTTCTCTTAATGGGGGGTTGCCGTTTACGTGGATTTTCTTTTCTGGGGTCAATCTCGATTTGGCCTTTTTATCAGGGAGATAATGCGCGCCCCTCGTAAAGACCCTGCTCCTCACTTGTGCCAACTATTAAGCAAACGAGCCACAGATTTACACCAGTCTGTTTTTTTAAACCGCTTTACCACGTAATCTTACAAATAAAATTAAAAATACTCGTCTGAATATAAATTTGGACAATTTTTTATTGTAATTTGGAAAACTTTTTTTTTAAACAAGTAATCTTGATTTCAACGTATGTGATATGCAATGAATAAATTTTTGGAAGTTTAATCAACATATTTTAAAACTATGGTAAATTAATCTAGGGAATTTTCAGCTTCAAGTTAGATTGGACGAATTTATCGGTAAACCTAATTGAGCAAGGACCCATATGATTAAACATGGCGATTGTGTTAATGTCGAACCAAAGTTTCGATGTAATATAAGGTTGATTAATTAGGTTTCAGGCGATGTTCCAACCAACCAATCCTTGTATCGTGTAACTTTCCTTATACAATTTATTTAACTACGTTTCATATGTAATTAACCCCGGAAGGATAACCTACGTAAATTTTCCGCCAAGCCTCGTTATCTTTAACGTAGGTTAGAAAAAGGTTATCCTCTTAGGATTAAACGACTTTGATAAAACTTTGATTACGCTCAATCAGTACGAAAGCCTATATGCAATTAAATTTTGAATTTTCAAATGATAAGTACTCAATGATTATATTACTAATTTTTTTCTTTCAATCGTGCATCAAAGTACATATTATTAAAAGCAGATACCTTTGAAAATTTTGTAAATTCCAACAAAAAGTTCTTATCAGACCTGTACTGACTAATTACGAATTTAGTTGCCTGGGTGTCACGTGACAACCAAATGGAATTTCATAAATGTCCAACATGCTCGTTCCCAACTTGTCAAGCTAATACGTCGCCGTCCAGTACAAAAGATACAACCTCATTAATAAATGCCAAGTCCAACAAAAAAAAAATGGGACAAACTTTTTGTACATTGAAAAATGTCTTATCACGATTTTGCCTCATTAAGAGATCCCCGCGAAATCACGATACGTTCGTGACCAAGCAAATTTGTGATTTTCATCCTCAGTAGAGAGACCATAAAAAATTGACTGTTTGCATGTAGCTTTTACTAAAATATAAATTTACTTAATAAATTTTTCTTACATTTCCTTATTAATATAAAGCTGATATAAAATGAAATTTTTTTTTTTTTTTGTCAAATTCCCGTGAATGACGTTTCTGTAATTTCGTGTCAATGGATCACCGATAAATTCGAGTGTCATTGCATTGACTGTTTTTGCCTTTCATTGACAATGAATTCATCAGTCAATCTGCTGACTGTACGACTATTAAGTAGTCACGACCTAGCGCCGTGCGAATGTCAGACAATAGAATAGAAATTTAGCGAAATAACGTAAAGCAGCTTTTATCGGAGTCACGATGAATTCGCTAAATTTTATTGCACGATCGATAACGACTTTTTGCAAATCCACATCCACCACAATCATTCGACTGATTATCAATCCATCAGTAGCAGCAGATGCGTATTGCAACTGAAAGGGCGTTTGCACGTACAAGAGGGTTAGGGCTTATATATCACTGTCAAAGTTCAGTACGCGATTAGGCAGGCAAAATTTTCGCAAATTGTCAAAATTCATTTTCAATGATTTCCTTTGAGAATTTCACAAACCATTTGAACGGCCACGAGCTTGATTTGACAAACTGAATTAAATCAATTAACTCGGCACGACTGATCGATCATTCAGTCCAATTATCTGTGAATCAAACAATGCGTTTGATTTATCCTCCATTTCCGTATTTCCCTATTATGTAATAATACAAAGCAGTCAGAATGCAATACAATGCGAATAAAAATATATGTTCAATGTATGTATAATTGTATGCGAAAATATAATTGCAAAAATTATTAATATTCCTCGCGAAAAAGATCTGTATAAAGTTTTGCAAAAAAAAAAAAATTCGCAAATGGTCCATTTTGCAATTTCATAACCCGTTACGGACATGAAACCGCAACTGCTTGTTATGTTTTGCTACCTAGGAGAAGCTGGAGGACATACCAGAGATTCCTCACATATCAAAGCTGTCCTGCTCTCTTGCGAAATATATTCGCGACTACTTGGCTACCAAATATGCGAAAATATTACTTCCGCATTGAAGCGATATTTGCGGCAAACGTAACCAGACGTTTCGTGACCTGATTTAATTCACGTATATCCGGCTCAGAAATCCAATATAATTTAAATCGCAGTTCCGTATACAAATATATCTGCAGCTTATAATATATCATAGTCAAACATTTTTCTTCATAATACGTAAATTCCTTGTGTTTCGTACCTTAAAATTACTGGTACAGTCATATGCGATAATCATAAATCAATTATTATTTTTATACTCAATTCCGTGTAAATAAATTTTATGACTTTTTTTTTATGTCGTGCTATGCTACGTCTCCTCGAATGCATTATTTTGCATAGTCTTTATGTACCGACTGCAGCTATTGCAATTCCAGGTGATTGTTACTCTAGCTAGTTTACATGGTTGGTGACCTGATTACTGGCTGGTAAGACATTCGTGATAGACGAGCCTTAGTATAGACGTACGTTATTACACCTGGTATTCGGTTAGGCTCTAATAATAGCACGGCTAAAATTGAAATGGAAATACAACCTTTTTTTTAATTGAACAGTCGAGACTAACGAGAATTTTGAAAATGTGATAACGATGTTGGCTTTATTGAAAACTGTTGGAAAATTGATAAAGATTGGACATTTTTCTTTGGAAAAATTTTCAAAAATTACTTGACTTGACCGATTGAATATTTTTGAATGATACTATATTTATAATTATTTTGAACTATGATTGTCTGCTATTATTATAACAAATTTTTTTTTGTATCAACCCAATGTACATTTATATGGATTTGTAATCCGTCACATTAAAATGCCAACATCTCACGTAAAGTATACTCGTAAAATGGGACATAAAAGTCGTGTGAAATTCGGGCGAAATTCTGTTTTATGGAATCGAATAAAAGTTAATGAAACCAAATTTTTTTAAGTAATCAGTTTACATAAAATTTTCAAATTGTTACGTCAAAAAAATCATAACGATCGACATTCAATGACAAAAATTGTTAAATAAATATTTTACAACGATGACGTCATCCGCATTCTGTTACCACGTGATAAAAGTAAATTTAAAAGAAAACTTCAAATAAACCAACTGTACAGTGATTGATTTTATTTGCGTTTCCACTTGAATGTAATTCGATATAAGAGCAAAGTTCTTTATTGACGAAGACGAGATGAAATAATCGAAATAAAATCTTGATGCAATACGATTCTAGATTTTATGTGATTCCGAACTGAATAAATATTATAAGTAAATATAATACGAGCTCCCCGTATTGTTTTACGCTAATTACCGAAAGGAGAAACGAAACTGCGTTACGTAACGGCAAACAGAGATATTCACGATAAATGTAAATAACACCATTATTATGAAATTTTTACCAAAAAACATTTGAACAAAAAAAAATATGATAAATCCAATCAATAATAGTTTTCAAAATTCACTCGTTTTCTTTCATGCAAGCAAAACCGACTCCTATTCTAGTTCGATTCGCGTTATCAAGAGGTCAGTCACCCTTCTGCACGCTAATCCGTATATAGGTCAAATGCAGCGACCTCTGTGTTAAAATCTCATGCTAAAGTTAAATTCGCTTTCGAATAATTTGAACGAGGTCAACTTTTTTTCTCATTGGATATTACATCGATTCACGGTACATATCGATTCCCCAGAAATAAATGCCGATAGGTAAATACAAGGCATCCGACTAAGGCACAAAAAAAAAAAATCGAATTCAATTAATAATTCGTATAGCGAAACGCGATCTATAATAATTTTTCAAAAATTTTTCATACTTAGCAATAATTAGAAATATATATCACAGTCAAGTAGTAAATGACAAAACTAGTCAGACACTGGATACTACTTGTACCTACATATACCATATCCAAAATTGTAAGGGTGACTCAAAAAAGTTATTTTGAATACCAACCCCACGATAGTACCACGTCATTGGGTATTTCGTAAAAGTTTTTCGATTTCCACCCTTATTTATTTGATCTCTCAATTTCTCCCTTACTTAACTCTTTTTTTTTTTATTTTAATGCCCTTTACCGAATGTCGGGTAGCACGAATAAATTTACGAGGAAATTTTTTAGGGGCTCGAATTTTTTCCATCCCCGAACATTTCACTCTTCGCGCATCTGCTCCGTGTACTGTAAAAGACAAAAGATGCCAAGAAGGGAATTTGCAATCGTAGCACAGGTACGTCTGACATATCGGTGCAAGATGAAGAATAAAAATTTTTACAGTGGCAGTTATTTTTATTTTCATAATTTTTTTTTCAATCACCTCGTTAACCCGATAATTCTTTGAATTTCGTAAACCCTTCGACAAACCTCCAAGGTGTGGCTACGTTTATATCGGTCACTTGTGTTTTATCGATTCACAAGAATTCCGCGCTTCTGAGCTTAGATTGCAGAAGCTAAAGCAAGTACACATTGTGGGGGTGGCAGGGGGGGGGCGTTTGGTTAGGGAATACTTTTATATTCGAGCATCGGAACGCAATTGATGCTATTTCTTCAAGTGGAAGGAAAGACGCGTTGCATATTGCATCTGCATTCACGATGCATTCTGAATATCCTGGATGGATGCATCCCTAGGGTTGAAATAGCTGATGCAGAAAAACGTATCTAACTACTTGTGAAACTACTTGTATCTTATTTATTATTCAACGTATACGAGGCAATGTTGAATTTGAATGAGGGGAAATTGGACCTATAATAAATTTGATCGTCATATAAATATATGTATGTCAACAGGTATACTGGAACTTACCATATCAATTTGATTTATCTGGTAAATTTTTATCGAAAAATTTATTCGCAATGTTGTCGAGTGGTAAAAATTTAAATTTCAAACTTTATTAAGTACAGTCATACGTTCGATAGGATTCTTTGAAAATTTGTTTAGACCTTAAACGTAAATGTGGATTTTTGTTGGATATGTAGAAGAAGCGAGAACTTGAAATGTAAAAATAAGTTCGTACAGTTGGCCGGAGAGGGCAATGAATTTGAAATAATCCGTTCCTCCATTACGCTGGCGGTCTTGACTTAAATTGGACTTTAATGTTTTTATCTTAAAGGGAAAGCATCAGGAGCGGCCACCACTGTTGTCCTTGTCAGGCGCCGCCACCGCCGGTCCTGGTCACGACCTCACCTAGTGCAAGAATTATCCGCCAGAGCTCGCAACCCGAAGCTTCTGCCTGTTGTTGCTCAGGATGTTGCTGTTCCTTGCACTCTGGGGCGGCTCCAAGTGCTGCCTCCTTGCGGCAACTTCGGGAACCTGGCGATGGAATTGCCGGCATCGCTGCCGACTCCTTGCGGATCAACGGCGGAATACGACAATTTCGACAGGTATGTTAACAACCTGCATGTTGATAACTAACACTGACTTTATTCCAACCGTCGAATAAGAAATTCCCTGTTATGTCATACAATTTTATTAGTTGAGCGTCTAATGATTTTCTGCTTTAATTACAAACTTGATTATTTATTACCCACTCGAATGAACTATTTTTCAGCATTTTTTTTTCATTGTCAAAACAAATCGCGTAGTTTGAATTTTTTTTGTCACAATAATTTACTTACCTTCTAACGAAGATCAGTCGGTAATTAAAACACGACGATCACAAATGATTCTAAAAATTTATCATGATTCTAATGTAAATATGGGTATTAAATGATTATCGCAGAAATAAAAAAGAAATTCATTGCTGAATAAAAAAATTTTAGTATCGATCTTAGAATAAGAATAAGTTCGAACATGAGGGTAGTAATTTTTTCACCCTCAATCTTTAACAAGCATCGTATAAGTATGAATTGTTATATTTTCGGTAAATCCGTTCCTTTTCTCTTCGGCCTCGTTTCCGGGTCGTCGAATGGTTTTAAAAGATCAAATAGAGTCGAGTAAACCGAATCACTCGTTATTACGTGGAATATCTTTTTTTATTATCGATAAGATTTCACGATATAACTTTTTGCCGGAGAAATGACAATGGCTTCCAAATTGATACATACAAAGCTTTTGGTCAGATTGCGCGAGAAGTTTACGCGAACAGCAATATTTCTCATAAAATACTATTGTCACACATGCATCACTATTCCAATCTAAATTACACACAATTATCATTTTGCTATATTTCTTCGCGCTTCGTCTATATTTTTTTTCCACAAAAAAAAATTTGTACAGCAATACACGAAAATAATATTTCCTTTTTCAAAATGCACCCACCTTATGCATATTTTTATTATGCCTTAAAAAAAGAACAAGATCTGCGCTACCAACAACAGCATACAAAAAATGGTCATTGTCCTTTCTGAAAAAATTTTCGAAATTTTAAAATCTTTATCAAAGCGAAACAAAAGGTCTTTAAAATTTCTCCAGGCACATTTTTCATTATCTCGCGCATTAAAATAATAACCAATTCTTCGTCTCGTACGATCATACTACGTAATGTAATAATATTACTCGACGTTCGACAATCAAAAAATACCACTATAGAGGTAAAATAGAAAAAATGATTTATTTTTCCATCAAAACGTCATTGATGAAGCGCCCACATGCCAAATAGATGAAACTTTAATAATACGCTATTGTATATAATGAAATGTTTCAAAAATGAAATATTTTTAAAATAATAAATTAATAATATAATAATATAAAAGGTAATAAGTGAACACTGTGCCAGTCACCCTTGGGGATTTACTGCGTGCAAAAAAGTCAAAAATATGATCCCTCATCAAGTGTCCCACAAATGGACTTAGTGCCTTATCAGTATTTTCTATAAATAAATTTTGTGCTGATATCAAACAACGTTTTTGCAGCTTGAAAAATACCAAAAATATATACCTATATATAAAGCGCAAAAAAATTGGCTGAAGACTTTTAAATCCCAATCAGCTGATCTAGTTCAAAAAGAATCCAATTTCGAGTCGTTTTCCTTTTCTGCTTCGCACACAACTATAATCAGAAACGGTGGGGTGCATCAGAGGATTTATGAAATATATAGACAAGTGCACACGTGGTCATACTTACGTATACCCATATGCATCTATTGCATCTGTATAGATGCACCCGTTGACCCACTAAGTCTAACAGATTCACCAGCACGAGCTGCTCTCATCCGGCTGAGTATTTTTCTCATAAAATTATACGTTGCCCATATTAAGGATTACACAGAAGAGTTGAACGAGAGAGTGTTCACTTTAGTTTTTAGTTTCAGTCGCTCGTAATGGCACATTGCAATGGCCTCGTGTTTTGGCAAAAGATAAATTAATCGTTTGAAAACAAAAAAAAAGTACTTTTCACTAATTATAATATTAACGGCTGATTTATGATTATAAATCATTATGATTTTCAATGTAAATAATGGATATTACGAAAATGCTATTAAATCGTGGCCTTGGATGACTTATAATTTATGTACAGTATCGTTTGAGGTACGTTATCGTGTCTTTAATCATCTGAGGTAACGAGGTTAATCTCGAAGAACAAAAGACGACGCTACCCCCCACCCGTTCGTTGTCATCCTTCATGAACGACAGGACTGAAAATTCCATCAAGAATTTTCGTAATGTCATTCATGTCCGAAATAGATTATCCCTAGGGCTAATACAGTCAGCTGTGATAGAATTACGATAACGCGATGAGCTTTTTGGAAATATTTTTCAAAATAAAAAAAATCTTCATTTATCCACAATAACAAGTAATAAAAGCAAAGTGACATTTTTGAGAATCAAATTATCAAGTAATTTGAATTTAATTATTTTTCACGCGTTTTTATTTTTCATTTTTTGTTTTTAAGTCTTTAAATCTTTTCTCTTGCCACGTTTATACCCAAGTCCTTTTCGTGACGAATTTTATTATATTTTATCCAATTATAGAAATGCTCGTCCCCACTACACAAACTACGGAGTCCCCGTGTATCCGACTTTGTTAACTTACCCGAGAAAAATTTTCAGCTGATTCTCAGTCTGCATTGCGGTATAAGCAACACATTCGTTAGCCTCGATGCAAAAGCCAATAGAAACTTCGACAGACTCGTTATTCCCTTTCGATGCTACTTGTATATATAAATATATATGTACATACAAAAGTAATACCTTAATTCGACTCTGGGTTGAATTGACGGATAATTTAAAAATTATGCAATATGCACCAGACCCAAGGACTCCTGACCCAATTTCAAATGAATGAATTGTTGTTTGACACTATAATGCTGTTTATCTGACATATTTTTATCTGCACGTTAGTCTTTTTTTTTTCTCATTCGGCGACACGCAACTCGAATGCCAACGCAATATTTCCCACTGATATTTCAGACTATCGATTAAAGTTTTGTCCAGCTTGCAGGGTTGAATATTGCAAAAAGAAAATAAAAAGAGAAAACTGATATGACAAAGACGCAATACGCCGAAGTATATCGATACAATGACAAGTCGCGTTTACTCAAAATGAAAAAAAAAATTCAATTCAAATAAGAAAAGTACCATCTAAATATTCACATGTATACAAATTGTACGAATGTTTTTTTTTTTTCAAAATTTTTTATTTTAATTTTACTTTATAATCAACTAAATCATTCAACACGTAATTTGCATCCGATAAGGAAGATATACAAAATTTACAATAATACCAACCATCTAAACGAAAACATCCACGAACCGTATCCATTCTATAAGGTTTCTGTGTTCCAAAAATAAAAATAGCCCCTTTTAATTTACGATGCCTTTTAACCGTATCTGCTTATGCATGCCGACTAACCGAAGACACAAAGAGGGTCGACGGCGCCGACTTCTTGCATGGTTAGAGCAAAGATAACGAAGGACTTTGTTAATTTAATTATCTCTCACGAGTAGTCGAGAAAGTGACGTAACTCACAATCAGTCATTTCAAGGAGGTTTTGCAATAGGCCGCCCGCGGCTTCTTCACCACTCGGGCTGCTTGCTGCTACTAGGAGTATAACATTGGTACTCTAATACGGTGTACCACTAGTAGTGGCATCGCTACTTCAGGCTTCCATTTGTTGCCGTCAGCTTTTGGCGCATTTCCAATAAGCTACAATCGCCCTAGTGGTCTCGTGTAAACTACCATATCTCCATGGGATACCCTGGCTCCAATGTCGACGTAGCTCGTTTGGGCTCTGTTGGAATTTTACTACTTCAAAGGGAACCGAGTATGGGGATAGTCACGTATAACGTTATAACGTACAGACTATAGACTGTAGAGTCCAGAGCATACAATACAGAGTACGCTGCAATATAGTCGAAATTCAAAAAAATTTTATTTTCCTCAAGTAATTTGGATATTTCTTTATCATCGTGAAAGTTCGCCCAACGAATTCAAGTTCTAAGAACGAATTTGAGAAACAAAATGATTTTGTGCCAAATAAGACGACAAGTTTCCATGTAAATTTACATTGCGAAATTCAAGCTCGAAAGTCTTTTTGCTTCTATGATTTCAGAGTCGAGTATCGTATTTATTTAGTTTCCGTATAAAATCCGTTGAACCGACTTAATGCAAAAAAAAGTTGGTCGTGAAAGAAAAAATTTGCTTCTAGAAAATTTCCAAATTTTTTTCTCATAAAAACAAAATTCCCCTTTTTTTTTTTTTTTAGTAAGTTCGTCTTATCTCCTACGCTCGATCTGGCTTTATAAATGAAATATTTAAAGCACTCTTCGTAATACGCAGGATAACCAAAGTAAAATTCTAATCTCGACCATGAAAATTCAAGCTCGTGAAGTTCTGCGTTATCGTGTTTTATTGTTATCAGCCATAACGTGACCGTCGCAACCCTTTTCTCCGGTGCAACGTACAGTACAGTGAATCATTATCATTATGCAACACGTGCCAATTAATCAAATAGGTTTTAGCCGTGCACGTGTACGTAACGGTACTGCTAGCCGTGCTTGTTAGAAATTTTGCAAATTTCATATTTGCACTGTTGCCTCGACAACCCGATTTTAAATTGTATTGTACGAAATTCCTATTCTACGAAAATTTCGAGCGAGTCAAGTTGGCTCTCGAACTTTAATTAAGATCCAATAAAAATCAAACTTCAATTTCGACGGCCAGACTCCAGGTAATTCATTCGGTGGCTTTGAAACGCGTTACAAATTGCTTCCGGGTCTCGTCCGGCGCATCGGCCTGCAGTCACCGTGCGAGAGGGTGCCTCGTGGTTTTACAACAACAACAACAACAACAAGCTGCGCTCTTTGATGCTTCTTATGGGAATCCCGCAATAGCGGTTGCGGTTACTTTGGGTTAATTAACGGACTACGCTAATCAACCTGGCAATTTACGGACGAACTGGTCCTCCGGTCAAAGTTCATCCTGGGCTGCCTGCATATTTGGT